TTGATGGGAGGGCTTTAATGTCATCGCTATCAGGTCTACACATGGTCCTGCACTGTAATAAATAAAGCTTATAGTGCAGAGTTGAGTTGGATGTGGTGGATTAGCATGTGTGAGTGCAAATTGCACTTGTGCATATGTGTAGCTGAATGTTACGGGCTCTCACTGAGACGAGGAGATGGGTAAAGGGAAGAAAGTGCCCCAAATGACTTGATGCTATAATTATGGGAAAGAAGATTTCCCCATAGCCAAGGGGAGAGAAAGGGAGGGTCAGCAAGGCTAAGTGGATGGTGAGGATCAAATGGAGATAGCAAGCCTTAGCCTGAAGAGAAGATGCAAGATATGAAGAAAGTGCTAATCAAGGCATCAAGGCAGTGCCATCTGTGGTAAGGTGTTGAGGGTGGTAGCGGTGAGCAAGGACAAAATGGGTGGCTGAAGGGTTTGCTGAGGCATTCTGATAAATGTCTAAGCCTTCTTCAGGCCCTTCTTCACCAGGCGTGGGAGCTCCTGTGCATACACCCTCACTTAGAGTACACCTCACCAGAATCTTCAGCCTCAGCTGCACCCAAAATCTTTGGGGTTAAAAGGTAGCCAAATTATGTAAAAAGATAAGCTAGCAGCTCATAAAACCTAGGCAACTCAGATGGCCAGCCCTCCAAACATGGAATCTGACCAAGACACTGGCTAAAAAGAAGTGAAATTCTCAGTCAATTGGGTTGAAAAGGTCTTTTAGGGTGAAAGTTTTGGAACACTACCCAGAACATCTGGAGATCTATATAGCAAATAGCATCTGCTTCTGCCGTACTTATTTTCTTCACGTAAAGAGCTAAGGAGCATTGGGTCGGTGTGAACTCAGGCTCTCCAAGTCCTGGCTTGGGGAAAGTGGGGATTCACTTAATATAAATAGACACTCCATTGTCTCATCTGAGCCGCTCGAGTCCTACACTTCTCAGCACCAGCACACAAATGACCAGCGGGGTGCTCAGGGCATGCAGGCAGAAGGAAAAATAATACTGTACCAAGACTAGCTGGTCTCTGTAGCCTGAGCGCTTCCAATACGTCCCTATCCACCCCTGGGCGGCATGAAAATCTAGATCCCAGTCTGCTCTTCCCAAGCCAGGAAGCACAAGCCCTTGGGAGTGCTTGCTATCGGACACCGGGAGAAAGTGCCAGAGCTGCCGCACGGGCGTGCACGCACGCACGCTCGGCCAAAGCCGGCCACCGCCAGCCCCCCCGACACCGCACACCCCTCGCCTCCTCGTCAGTGGAGAGCTTCTGCTCAGCGCTCGGGGCCGCTCTCGCTCCCAGACCCTCCTCCTCCTCCTCCTCCCCCTCCTCCCCCCCCCCCCTCCCCTCCCCCTCG